CCAAGACATCAAGACAAAACTTTCAATATTCCATGGAAAATGTTCTGAGTGCTCCTCCCTCGCCAAGGAACTTCGTGAAGCTGGAAACAGCACCATTCCTCTCACGGAAAATACCGAACTAATTAACGAAGCAATCGCCCATCTGCAAGATGTGCATAAAATTATCCAAAGCAAAAAGAGGCAAAAAGCGAACACGCCACCGAATACCGTAAATTCCAAAGACACAAAAACAACAAACAAAACACAGCAGCCTGAAAATCAAGCAGCCAACATTCCTACCGGGGCCATCCCAAAAGTGCCGAGAACCGATGCTGAAGGGTTCATCGCCCCTATTAAAACCATGGGTTTTAGGCGGCTGGTAAATATCAGACAGCTCGACTTCGGGGTACCAATCCCAACTCAGAACAGGTTTGAAAGCCTGCGGTCTGAAACTGATCCCCCGGAAATACCTCAATCAGATGTTGAGATGCTACCAGCCTCACCAGCAACATCCAAATTAAAAACAAAGTGGCACAAACCAAAAAAGCCCCCCCGGCTAAGCCGAACAAACCACCCCCAATTGTGGTAAAGGGCAGGTTTACTAACCACAAAGAGCTGAAAGAACTCCTGAGCAAGCTAAATGTCTTACAGTACAGTATCAGGTACACCAAAAACTCAACCATACTGTACTGTGAGCAAATAAGGGACTGGCAAACCCTACTAAGGGCATTTGAAGCAGAAGATCTCGAACACCATACATATGCCGAGAAAAGCACCAAGGGCCACGCCTTCGTGTTGAGAGGGCTTGAGGGAGACATCTCAATTCCCGAAATAACCGAAGAACTCAAAAACTATTATGACATCACAGCCAAGAATATCTTCAAGATGCGGACCAAGTACGAGTCTATGTTCCTGGTCGTACTTGATTCCACACACACCCTCAAGTCCCTCAATCAGCAAGTCAAGGAGATCATGAAGGTGCGAGTCCGATGGGAAAGCCGACGCTCAGAACGCCCGGTCATGCAGTGCCGCAGATGTCAGGGCCTAGGGCACTCAGCCACCTACTGTAAAAGGGCACCTAAATGCAGCAGGTGCGCCTTACCCCACGAAATCACTGCATGCACCAGCGAGACCGTGAAATGTGCAAACTGCGGGGGTGAACACAGGGCGATAAGCGAGGAATGCCCTGTGTACGCACACAAGATCAGGCAACTAGAACCCCGCAGGAGGTACATTCCTGCGCCGCCACCCAAGACACCGGCATGGCAAGGCCGGGCGACAAACCATACCGCAAACAAGAACACGACTGCTGCGAGCCTGGTACCTCGGCCTGCACCCGAGAGGTACAACACCGATTTTCCGGCCCGAAGATCACGAAGACAATCCCAAGACCTAGCATCTTACAATAATGTACTACCAACTACCTCTAGAGAGGCGGTAAGTGACAACCAGGCAGAATTCCTACAACTAGCAACGACCATGGCTGAGTTAAACTCCCTGGTCAACATTTCTGAGCTGCTAAAAGCTCTAAACAAATACATAGAACTTTTAAAAAATTGTAACGGGGATAAAACCCAAATCTTGCAAGTAACCATGAACTTCTTTTCCAGGGAAATTCACAGTTTCGACTTCTAAATGTGGGAAATACTGAGTTGGAACTGTAATGGTCTCAGAAATAAAATGGGAGTCCTATACCAAACTCTGAACCATTGCAGCCCCAAAATAGTGTTTCTCAACGAGACCAAACTCCAACCGACTGACAAACTAAAACACAAAGGTTATAAAGTCGAACGAAATGACAGAAACAACAGGGGTGGTGGAGTTGCCTGCCTTATTCACAACTCGATAAATTACAAAAGGATAAACACACTCAACACGAGCATCGAGCATATCACCATAGAGCTCGAAAAGAACCTATGGATCTCGGGTGGATATGCTCCACCAGACGCTATCAGGGGTGTCATTTCTTTCCTAGAAATGGCAGAGCGCTTCTGATTGGAGACCTCAATGCCAAGCACACCACCTGGCTGAACAACTCCAACAATAGGGCAGGCAGAATACTCCAAAGATACATCGTACAACACCCGAACATACAACTCCACCACCCCAACTACTACACACACTTCCCCACAAATGGTCTTCTACCCAGTACAATTGACATCGCACTTACCAAAGGACTAAACGACATAGACGTAAAAACCAAAAACATACTTAGTTCGGACCACCTACCGCTTTTCCTGAGCTGGAAAAACCCGCCAGCTCAGGAGAAGCAAATGACTTACTCCTACAGGAACTTTAACTGGACTCTCTTCAAGAGACGGATAAACGACATTACTGAAATACCCAAACCAATCACCGACATACCCGAACTCGAGAGGCAAGTTGAACTAATCACGGCTAACATCCAGAGAGTTAGAAATCAGCTTGCCCCGAGAGTCGAACTCAAACACAAAACTGACACACTGCCAGAATCCGTTGTCGAACTAATCAAGGCGAGAAATAGGGTGAAGAGAGCGTGGCAAAGGCGCCCAAACGACTTGGACAGACAAATTATCAGACTCCAAAACTCCGAAATAGAAAGAGGCATACGGATTCACAGGAACACATCCTGGATGAAGTATGTCTCTTCTCTAGAAAGCCAGGATAACTCCCTGTGGAAGATGGCCAAAAACCTACGGCGACCAGGAAAACAGAGCGCGGACCTGATAATAAATGGCATCACACTCTACAGGGAGCAGGACAAGGCAGAGGCCTTTGCCGACCATTTCGCAACAGTCTTCGAAGCGACACCGAGCGACAACGATATACACACAAACATCGAAAACTCAATGGACGCATTTGTCTCGCTCAAATACCCTATCCCGCCAGTGGTACATCAACGGATGCTGGTAAAACCCGCTGAACTCACACAAATTATCAAAAAACTACCCAACCCCAAAGCACCCGGACCCGACACGCTAACAAACCAACTTATAAAAAACCTGCCAAGGAAAACTATTATACAGCTCCTGAAAATCATAAATGCAATATTAACCTTGCAGCACTTTCCAGCGGCATGGAAACAGGCGCATATAATAGTTTTCCCTAAACCCGGAAAATACTTAACCCTCCCGCAATCCTACAGACCAATTTCCCTTCTCAATACCCTAAGAAAAGTTGTAGAGAAATTGATTCTACGCAGGGTCTCCGATATAGTAAACAGACTGGAATGCCTCCCCAAAGAACAATACGGATTTAGACCGGAACACAACACCACACTTGCAGTAGCGAGGGTAGCTCAAGACGCCTCCGCGGCATTCAACAACCGCGAGAACACCTTCCTACTGCTACTCGACATAGAGAAGGCTTTTGACAAAGTGTGGCACAAGGGCCTTCTCTACAAACTACTGACTACGCACAACCTCCCCCTTCATCACGTATCCCTCATTGCATCCTACCTACAGGACAGATCCTTCCAAATCAAAATCCAAAACACTCTCTCTCAACCCAAACCCATCAAAGCCGGCGTCCCTCAAGGCACAGTCCTCTCCCCAACCCTCTTCAATCTGTATATCGCAGACATCCCCAAAGCCGACAACACGCAAATCATGATGTATGCTGACGACACTGCAATTTACACCAGCGCCTTTTACGCAGAAGACGCGAAAAGGGCACTGGCAGTGCACATGGACCTACTGACACCTTACCTACAGACCTGGAAGATCAAACTTAACACAAACAAAACAGAACTACTGACAATTACCAGGAAAAGAACGCATACTATCATGATCCCTCCCCTAAAACTAGACGAAACTGAAGTCTTACCCAAAACTTCAGTTAAATACCTGGGGATAGTTCTTGACAAAACGCTCAGGGGCCGTACCCAGGTAGCCCACACGCTACAAAAGGCACACGCCGCCGAACGCCTCCTCAACCCTATCTTAAGAGCCGGTTCCTATCTCAGCCCCAGGAACAAGATCCAAATCTACAAATCAATCATCCGCCCGACACTACTATACGGAGCACCTGCGTGGAGCTTCATCTGCAACTCTGAGAAACTCAAACTCCAACGTTTCCAGAACCGTTTTCTCAAAAACGCCCTCTCCTTCCCCATGGGCACACGAACCACTGAAGTACACAGACTAGCACGGATCAACACCATACAGGACTACTTCGAGGAAGTTTCGACCAACTTCTTCAGGAAATCCCTCCAAGGCCCCATCCTAACCAGAAACCTCTCAACCCTCAAGCACGACCCTCAAAACCCCCAAAAACACAGACCAATACACCACCGACTGACCATTTACTACGAACCGCCGTGATCAGGAGCGCAAAAACCAACATAGGATTTAGCACCTCAGCGCTAAACCAACAACAACTTCGCAAACCACCAGACACGCCTGGGCGACTAGCCCCGCCTCGGCGGCTAGACCCGCCTCGGCATCGAACACAAATCACGAACACGAACAGCGCTCATCGGCTCAAACAACCTTGACCGGTTTCTGCGATCCTGGTACCGGCGTTTCGCTAGCGGGTGACTACACACCCAGTAAACGTGAAGTAGGGTTTTTTCGGCAAGTTTTCCCTACATAACCAACAAGACAAATACGGAATGACTACAGAAAACTAAAACTACATAAATTCGGACAGAGGCCGAAACTGTGAATTGACCTAAAAGTGGTTACTTGCTACAATAAAGCGTCATAACTGCCTGGAAGTTACTTACCAAATCTAAATTACTTTTGTACAGAGGTCAGCCAATAACATCGGCCAAACTGGCCGCATATTTGTTACTATGATTTGTTACATAAATAAATTAATAGCGATAAGTAGTGGTTAAGTTTAGAAACTCTGTATATATTATATTATTATGTGTTTAGATTAAGGTAGGATTAAGAATTATTGTAAATATTGTAAATAAATGACATCAGCATCAGCATCAGCTCAACTGTATACCTTTTACGTGCCAGCCACTCTCACTTCAATTGCTTGTTTCGGGTGGAAATTGCGACTTTCTCGAATCTAACTATAACTGTATCGAGGGTCAGTACCTTGTAGTAAATTGTCGAAAGGAATGCGAGTCGGTTACTCGATTTTTTCAATGTGTTAATCCATGCGTCATTGGAAGTCCATGCGCTCCTACTGCTGAATGCCATGCCACTAATCATAGAGCCCTATGTAAGTGCCCTACTCCTCTCATTGGAGATCCATTTACAAGATGCTACGAACTGACCAAACAGCCTAAACCGGAATGTGTTCATGATGGTGAATGCTCGAATGATAAATCTTGCATCAATCAAAACTGCCAAGATTCTTGTGCCCTAGCTAATCCTTGTGGTACCAACGCTAAGTGTCTAACAAAAATTCATAGAACAATTTGCGAGTGTCCCAATGGATGGGTAGGAAATCCACAGGTTTTCTGCTACAAACGTGAGTTTTTATCTAAATTAAAAAAAAAAATCGATTCACACAATCTTGTTTATAGCTGAATGCAAGGTAGATGATGACTGCCCATACGATAAAGCTTGTCTCAACAAAAACTGCCTCAATCCGTGTGCTAAGATATTTTGCGGACGTGGAGCTGACTGCATAGCCCAGAATCACCGCCATCAATGCCAATGTCCTCGAGGAACTCAAGGGTACCCACTTCTATCGTGTATTACTGGTCAATGTCAATATAACGAGGACTGTGCTGACCATGAGGCTTGTGATCGTCTTAACCGTGTCTGTCGACCAGTCTGCGATGACGAAACCTGCGCTGTCAGTGCCTTATGTATCGGACAAAATCACCAACCTAAATGTAACTGCCCAATCGGAACTGTTGGCAATCCATTTGTCGAATGCAAACCACCTACAAAACCAGAATGTACTGTAGATTCTGATTGTCCATCTCAACTTGGCTGTATCAATGAACTTTGCCTCAATCCATGCCACCAGGGGAATATGTGCTCGATAGAACAAGAATGTCGGGTTGTAGATACACTTCCAGTACGCACTATAATGTGCGCTTGCGGTCCAGATCAGATAATTGACGATTCGGGGCATTGTACAGCAATCGTCCGCGAAAAGCCGCAATGTCAACGCGATACTGATTGTGCCGACGCAGAAAAATGCTACAGAGGAAGTTGCGTTGACGCCTGCCGATTAGATAATTGCGGAGTAAATGCTATTTGTCGAGCTGCAAATCATTTAACTCAATGTACTTGTGCACCAGGATACACTGGAAATCCCAGAATAGAATGTACTAACGAATCGAGAGTTACATATTTACCAGAACCTGAATGTACTAGCGACGACGAATGTTCTTTAGATAAGGCTTGCATTAATAGTATGTGCGTGAATCCATGTAGATTAGATAAACCTTGCGGTAATAATGCTTTTTGTTCTGTCAACCATCATCAACCTATATGCAGATGTCCAGAAGGATACATCGGAAGGCCTGAAGTTGAATGCCTAGCACGTAAGTACAAAAAGATTTATAGAATGAAAACAGTAATAATAATGATAATTGCATCTATTTTAGCTCAAACAGCTCTTGCCATTGGGTGTACTACAAACACTGAGTGTCCTCTTAGTGAATTCTGCCTCAACAAACTCTGTATTAGCCCATGCAATTGCGGACCAAATGCCGACTGTAAAGTAGACAACCACTACGCCACTTGCTTCTGCAAAGCTGGATATTCTGGCAATCCACAAACTGGATGCGTTAAATGTAAGCATAATACATTATTTTTCACAAATACGATTTTCGCAATAAAATTTATTTTAGTGGGATGTCAATCAGACAACGAATGCGCTGACGACCATCAATGCTACAACAGGCAATGCATTAATCCTTGCATCCTCAGCGATCCTTGCGCAAGAAATGCTGAATGTTTCGGACGCAAGCGCAAAGCAAATTGCAGATGTCCGCCTAGCTATAATGGCGATCCATTTGTCCGATGCGAGAGACTTGAATGCTATTCCAGCCAAGACTGCCCGAGCAATCGCGCGTGTTTACAAAGCAGATGCGTTGATCCTTGTTCGCCTATAGCCTCCCCACAATGTGCTCAAAACGCTGTTTGCCATGCTCAAAATCATGGAGCTGCCTGTGTATGTCCAGATCACTTACCTGATGGTAATCCTTTGGCTTACTGCTTACCAAGAACGCCAATAGGCAAGCCAGTATGTGTTTACGATTCTGATTGTCCAAGTAAATTGGCTTGTATTAAGAGATCAATGCGTCAATCCATGTGAGAGTATATCTCCGTGTCATCCGACAGCAAGTTGTAGTGTTATAGATACAACGCCAGTGAGAACTATGGCTTGTACTTGTCGGGATGGATGGGTGCCAAATGATAATGGTGAATGTCACGCGATATTAATTCCAATCCCTCCTGGTTGCAGCAAAGATGATGATTGTCAATCCAATGAAGCATGTATTAACAGAGTTTGTAGAAATCCATGCGATTGTGGCATCAACGCTATTTGTGACATCAGAAACCACAAACCGATATGTTCATGTAAAGAAGGTTTCGAAGGCAATCCTAATATCGCTTGCCGAACAATTGGTTGTAGAATAAACTCAGAATGTGACTCAGGAACGGCTTGCATTAATAGTCATTGCGTTAGTCCTTGCTTGGTTAAAAATCCTTGCGGTACTAATGCTGAATGCTTCGTTAATCAAAATAATCCAGAATGTAGATGCCGCAGTGGTTTTAGAGGAAATCCTTACGAAAGATGTTTGGTCGTTGGATGTGTTTCTAACAGTGAATGTCCCGATGATAGACAATGCATCAATGCTCAGTGTATAAATCCTTGCCTATATGACAATCCATGCTCCCCACGCGCTGAATGTCTTGTACAAAACCACATGGCTCTTTGCAAGTGTCCAGGTTTAATCGGTAATCCTTATGTAGATTGCAAACCAGAACCGCAACCAGAATGTAGAGAAGATGGTGATTGTCCAGCACTTCTAGCCTGTATAAACAGCCAATGCCAAAACCCATGCTCTGTAATCCAACCGTGTCAAAATCCAGCCAAATGCAATGTAGTCAACTCACTGCCAGTAAGAACCATGAACTGCGTATGTCCCCCAGGATATATTAGCAGTGGTAGCGGAACTTGTAACCCAGTCACTGCCATTATCAAGACTGCCTGTATCTCTGACAGCGAATGTCCTTCAGACAGAGCATGTTTCAATGGAATATGTCGAAACCCTTGCAATTGTGGTCCAAATGCTGAATGTCGTATCAAAGACCACAAACCAATATGCGCTTGTAAACCAGACTTTGAAGGAAACCCAGAAATTAGCTGTAGGACGGTTGGATGTAGAAATCACGATGAATGTTCACCTCAGCATACTTGTGTTAACAGACAATGCGTGCCAGTATGTCTGCCAGACAATAAACCTTGTGGACAAAACGCTACTTGCTATGGAAACCATCACAGGGCCATTTGTGAGTGTCCTCCAGGACGTATTGGTAATCCAACAGATGCCTGCGTTTTGGTAGGATGTAGATCAGACTCAGAATGTCCATCTAACACTGCCTGTATAAACAACGAATGCGATAATCAGTGCGAAAAAGCCAATCCGTGTGACGCACCAGCAGAATGCAAAACTTTCAATCACATTACTGAGTGCGTCTGTCCGCCAGGAACTGTCAGCGACGGAAAGATGGGATGCATTAGACCTGAAACTGCCAATCAGGGCTTGCTTGCATAGGAAACGAATGTGTTAATCCGTGTGCTACAACTGAACCCTGCGGTATTAATACTGTATGTAAAGTTGTGGATACAGAACCAGTGAGGACGATGCTTTGCGAATGTTTGCCTGGTTATCACGGAAATGCTGCCGTTAAATGCGATAAAGGTAAGGATTGATTCTATTTTATTGCCCCATAAATGAATATGGTTGAATGCTAAATCACACTTTTTTATGTATGAAAACACACGTTTTATACAATAAATTTAAATTTATACACTTTCCAGCATAATCCGGTAATATTTAAGAAAAATACGATTCTGGATAATTACCTACTTACTTATTTATTTAGTTCCTGCCATTGGAAGACAATGTGATATCCGCAAAGTTACGTTCGTACACCAGCCGGAGACTGCATTTGTCAACACAATACAGCCCTAAACGAAAACGAAGAATGCGTGCCATGTCTGCCTGAAAAAGGCTTCACGATTGACAAAGATGGTCGATGCGTATGCGACTTGGAAAAAGGACTTATCGTTGACGAACGCGGAAATTGCGTTTGCCCCATAGAATTTGGATATCGCCTCGACGTTAGAGGTAACTGCGTACCGGTTAAAGGACCAAAATGTGAAACGGACGACGATTGTCCAGATTTCAAATATTGCAACCCCAACACCAAAACTTGCGATAATCCGTGCGCTAAAAAACGTTGCGGAGTTTACGCTCTTTGCAACGCTACCAACCATCAAGCTGTTTGCCAATGTGTAAATGGTTATACAGGAAATCCTGATAAATATTGCAGTAAGAACTTATAATATCAAAGTAGAGAATTATCGAGGTATATATATTTTTCTTTGTAGATTACACTTCACCCTACAGAACTGATTTCCCTAAACCCGACATGATGGTTAGCTGTCTCTCAGACGGTGTCCAAGTGGAAATTCTAATCAACGAACGAGAAGGATTCAATGGAGTCCTTTACGTTAAAGGACGTAGCAAAGACGAACAATGCAGACGAGTTCTTACACTGCCACCCAACTCGGTTTCTAGAACTGAATTGTTCAAGGTTCAGTTCGGAAATTGTGGTTTGATACATGTCAATGTTGGTTGAGATTTTTTATTCTAATAATATTTTATCAACTCATCTCGTTATTTTTAGGGAAAAGCCAGTTTCGTATTAGTAATCCAGAAACATACAAAATTAGTCACCTACAAGGCTCAAGCCTATCACATACAGTGCGTCTATCAAACTGGCGAGCAAAATGTCACTCTAGGCTTTAACGTTTCAATGTTAACGACTGCCGGAACTATTGCGAACACTGGACCTCCACCTACTTGCCTGATGAAAATCGTAACCCCAACTGGTCAGGAGATTAATTCAGCAGAAATCGGTGATAGTCTTATTTTACAAGTAGACGTACAACCCGGATCGATTTATGGAGGTTTTGCCAGAAGTTGTGTGGCAAAAACCATGGAAGATTCAGTCGAAAATGAATATTTGGTAACAGACGAAAACGGTTGTGCTACAGATCCCTCGATATTTGGCGAATGGGAATACAACCCCGACACACAGAGCTTATTGGCGACATTCCACGCTTTCAAGTTCCCGAGCAGCGATAATATCCGATTCCAGTGTAACATTAGAGTATGCTTTGGAAAATGCCAACCAGTAAGAACCCTCTTTTAATTAAGTTAACATGAATATACTTTTGCCAGAATTTCATCGGACTACTCCATTTGTAAATGAGGGAAATGGCTGTGTGCACATCAACGATGTAGAGAAGAAAAAGACAAGGGAGACCCCAGTGTGTATTCTGTGCATAAATTTTATTGAATAGCAGAGCGCTTTCGGCCGTAGGCCATCTTCAGTGCTTCCTGAAAGTAATCAAATAACCTGAATGAGATTTTGAAGGTTGTAACTAGTTGAGTTGATTAGCTAATCGGTTATTACTTACTTTGTCAGGAGTACATCGAAGTCAGAAATTGTAAAAGAGCACCACATACTTAATGGAACGAACATACATTTAAATTATTGCAAAACATTAAACATTTAGGTGTAAAAACATTTAGGTGTAAAAAGGGGGCCCTAGGGCTGAACCATGGCAATTACATTAATTAGTTTGGTCTCAGACAACCTGTTCTTTTTCGTTTTGTAATTAATGCTGGATGACACAGGAAGAAAGTCAGCTGATTTTCAAAGACTAACCGCGCAAGTGTGAGCTACGAGGGCAACTCCAAAATTGCAGTTCAAAAAATAAGAATTTCGAAAATCGTTTAAGTTTTCGTTTTTTATAAATAGAGCCAGACTAAATTTTAAAAAACAATAACTCTATTGTAAGCAGGTCTAGATGGAACTTGATAATTTCTTGATTATCATCATTGAGTGATCAAACCTACTTAGTTGTTAAGCTTAGTTAGTGTTTAATTTAGAAGGCGTCTGTGCAAAGGGATATAACTCCTATTCAAATTCACCTGAGTATTTAGACAAGAGCAATTTACCTGTAGTTCTTTTTGTATTTCAATGTCCTCCACAAAGTCCCAATGTCTAAAGAGAACTACAACAAAGAACTTAGAATCTTGAAACAAATAGCATACAACAACCAATACGACCCGGACATGATAGATACCTTGATTAACAAGACAAAACACAATAGACTGAGGAAAGAAATCTACCCTCTTCCAAAGGAGATTTTGAGATATGTTTCAATACCTTTTGTTGATCAAAATTTCAGTTCGAAAGTAGCAAATTCCATTCGCCATTCTATCCAGAAAGTTAATATTTCTTATAAAACAAAAAACAGTCTTCACACACACTTGGTTAACTCTAAAGATAGGATAGAAACCCTCTCCAAAAGCGGAATTTATAAGTTAAACTGTAACACTTGCAACAGTTCATATATAGGGAGAACTTGTAGACCTCTTCAAACACGGATTCACGAACATTTAACCAGACCTAATTCGGCTTTTGGGGACCACATAAAATCCACAAAACATGAATTTAGCCCTAAATCAAATTCCAAGATTATCCATAACGTTTCTTCAAAGAACTTCAATAGACTGGACTTTGTGGAGGACATTGAAATACAAAAAGAACTACAGGTAAATTGCTCTTGTCTAAATACTCAGGTGAATTTGAATAGGAGTTATATCCCTTTGCACAGACGCCTTCTAAATTAAACACTAACTAAGCTTAACAACTAAGTAGGTTTGATCACTCAATGATGATAATCAAGAAATTATCAAGTTCCATCTAGACCTGCTTACAATAGAGTTATTGTTTTTTAAAATTTAGTCTGGCTCTATTTATAAAAAACGAAAACTTAAACGATTTTCGAAATTCTTATTTTTTGAACTGCAATTTTGGAGTTGCCCTCGTAGCTCACACTTGCGCGGTTAGTCTTTGAAAATCAGCTGACTTTCTTCCTGTGTCATCCAGCATTAATTACAAAACGAAAAAGAACACGTTGTCTGAGACCAAACTAATTAATGTAATTGCCATGGTTCAGCCCTAGGGCCCCCTTTTTACACCTAAATGTTTTTACACCTAAATGTTTTTACACCTAAATGTTTAATGTTTTGCAATAATTTAAATGTATGTTCGTTCCATTAAGTATGTGGTGCTCTTTTACAATTTCTGACTTCGATGTACTCCTGACAAAGTAAGTAATAACCGATTAGCTAATCAACTCAACTAGTTACAACCTTCAAAATCTCATTCAGGTTATTTGATTACTTTCAGGAAGCACTGAAGATGGCCTACGGCCGAAAGCGCTCTGCTATTCAATAAAATTTATGCACAGAATACACACTGGGGTCTCCCTTGTCTTTTTCTTCTCTACTCCATTTGTCTTATTACAAATCTATTCATATTGTTTAGCAGTTAATAATTAATAATTTAATAAATCTGCAGGTTAATTGCCGAGGGAGCGACGCGTTCGGCAGAAGAAAGAGAGCCGTTAAGGATAACGATAATGATACAGACAATTTGCTGTCGGGACAACTGAGGGAAGAAATTACCATACAATCGAATGCTATCCTTACTTTAGAAAGAAGAGAAGAAAGATACACAGATACCTCGTTGTGTGAGTAATATTAATTAGCCAAATATTATGCGTGCCATGCATACCTATGCAATAATAGATGTATTTAATTATTATACGATTTTTTCAGCTCCAGACGCCCAAAGGTCAGAAGACATCTGTGTTTCTATGATTGGATTTATAATAGCCTTAATCATCACTGCCCTTTTGGCCTTGGTTGCTGTGGCAGTGGCGGTGTCCTGTTGGTTAATGGCGTACCGTCGAAGGCCCAAGTCCACTGGACCACTTCCGCATCCGCCGGAGTTCCCGAACCCGTTATTTACAACACCAGAACCCATGGCCGAACCAAGCCCAGACTACCTCACGTAATCGCAACAAGAACAAAACTAGCCTAAGATTTTATTTAATACTCCTTAAAGTGTGTTTTTTTACCATGATAGTGACTACATTATATTGAATCTCGAAAGTTTATATTTTAAGCAACGAATACTCGACGATTTTTTTTTATTTATATTTCTATTTTTGTATATTATTATTTTTTCGAGAGTTCGTGAGAAGACTGCAGGTTCTTGAATCCGTCCCTCAAAGCTACTCACTTGTTATTTATACTGCCAGAAGAACCTGCAGTTCGAAACGGACCCAAAACGTAGTAAATAGAATTTTAGATAAAATATTTGACTCAAAAGAATGTTCGTACGTTGACAGTACACTAGTTACAATTTTTGAGATATTTATACACGATTGGTCAGCTGACGACCATTCTCACTATCTTTTCCATAGGCTATAGAGATTTTTACATGATCAAGGGTTTTTTTTTTTTTCATTAATGGTGGTGGTTCTATATTGCTTTAACAAAAATTCCTAACTGATTCAATAATAATCCCTTGAATCTGATTTCTTTTGTACATAAGAATACGTTTTTTTCCTGAAAAATAGCATCTGGAAGACATAGTATTTTGTAAGACTAGACATATATTATATGACCCCCCTGTATAAACTGCATGAATGTGGATGAATGTTGGGAGCTGGAAGCTCCTTTACTAGATATTTGGTGCTGACTGATATATTCTTTAAAAAACAAACAGTCATTTAGTCAATCTTCTTTTTTAAGTGTAATTATTTAAATGTAAGTCTCGAGGAGACAAAAATATTTTGTAAGTAACCAAAAAATTGACTCAGCTGAATTTTATTAATCATCTCATTTGTCTGTGAATTGTTAAAAAAAAAAAAATTATTGTACTAATTAATACATTATTTATAATTTCGTCTCCTTTAAAAAAGAATTAACGATGATTCCTTAATTGTCATATTTGTGATAATCGCTTCTTTAATAAAATACTATTTAATAATATTTTATTGTTAGTTTGTTTGAAATTTCTTTCTTTTCGTGTCGAGAGTTCTTCGAACATCGCTGATCAACTGATCCTTTGAAAATAGTTGAACAACCAAATATCAAATTTAGTCCTCTGTAATAAATTGAAACAAATGTTTCTTTTTCATTGGAGTTGCCCTGGGGAACCTGTTTTTTTTATTAAATTTTACGAAGAGAATACTATTTTTTTTACTCATTGTGCTTCAAAAATGTAAGCCATTTAAAGTGAGCAGAATGTCCCTACACATAAGTAGCCTGAGACATAAGAGATACTGCTTCGTGCAGAATTGGGAATTGCAGCGGCAAGATTAGCATGCGATTCAAAGGTGAAGCCTGGATTCAAAGTCTTGTCAAGGAATTTACGAACTTAATAGTTAGGGGGTGAATTCATTGCATATCAGATTTCTATAATAATAGAAATCTGATATGCAATGAATTCACATAGTTAATAAACTAGAATGCATCCAAAATCAAATCGCAACCTATAAAGCTGATGCCACTGTGCATGCCTGCAGGAATTCGTTTTTATTATGTGCATGGTGACACACTAGTGAGTTATAAGTCACATTTATTAGTCAGAGCAATTATAGTGACATTATTATGTCAGCGTTACGAAATGCGTTAATAAAATGAAAATTATCAAATTATTTTTGTTTTAGCGTAAATTTTGGGATAAATTAGAGGAAAATGATTAATCAGCAGTACCCTCAAACTAAATTTCCCCATTCAAAAAAAAAAAAATCAGGAGATCAAATCACCTTCATAGTAATACAAATAGTTTATCGAACAGCCTTCTGGGGTGAATTTCAGATAAAAATTTCCACACAAAAACTTCATTTGGTTTATTCAACAACTTTAAGTAGGTATTGCCTAATACTATAACTTCAATTATACCAAATTATTATCGTGTTTTCAAGAATAAATTTTTTATTTCGTGTTATTTATTAAACAAGAAGAAAATATTCACTTTTGCAACGCCACGGGGTCCAATTGGGGTTTCGGTTTGGTTGCCACACCTCCCAATAACTTTTTAATTTCGGCGATAGCCTTGCCTGGATTCAATCCCTGTAAGAACAACAAAAAAAGTTTTCAGTTGATCGCTCACGTGTGTACAAATTTGAGTGTAGGAACATACCGGGTGTCTACGAGATTAGTTTCGCGCTGGCATTTGCTGGTTTTTTTTTCAATGGCAAAGATTTTTGGTATAGAGTATAGGTTTGAGAAATGTCATCTTTTGACATATGTTTCAATGTTTGGTAACTTCCGGTTTGACTGGAAATGACCCTAACTTCGTAATTTCGAATGGCATCCCAAGAATTTTTTCGCATTTTTGGGATCTGCGGATCATGATGTGTATGAAAATGTCAAATTTGAAAATTTTTGAAGAAAGTTAAGAATTCTGGATCAAAATTTATTTTTGAATAGAAAGTGACAGAATGGCCTTTAAACTGTTTTTTTCAACTCAAAAATGCGAATGCCAAGTTGTTATCCTTTGCTTGTTCTCCAAAGGCTTCCAAAGTTGAAAAAATCACATTTTACGTGATAACTCTATGAAATCACCCAACTTTCACAACAAGAGATTTTTACCTTTTTCAAAATGAAATCAACTATGAATTAAAACTTTTCATTTATGCCAGTTTTTAATTATTTTCTCATTATTTTTATTATGCACTACTATAAATGATGAAACTACTTGTAAATGAACCCCTGTAAGAAAAAACGCTGTCTAAAAGGAGCTGGTGGTCTTTTTTTACTTGTCAAGCCATTGACAAGATCTATGGATAAGATACATTTGTTTGCATAGACATTTGTCATTGTTTGGCATCTCGGGAATTTGTAAATACAAAGTTTGAATACAGGGATTTATAGGTAGTTTTATCTTATCATTTATAGTAGTGCGTAATAAAAATAATAAAAAAATAATTAAAAACTGGCATGAATGAAAAGTTTTAATGCATAGTTGGTTTTATTATGAAAAAGGTAAAAAACTCTTGTTGTGAAAGTTGGGTGATTTCACTGATTTCATTGAGATATCACGTAAAATGTGATTTTCACAACTTTGGAAGCTTTTGGAGAACAAGCAAAGGATAACATGGCATTCGTATTTTTGTACGATCGTATTAGTTGAAAAAAACAATTTAAAGACGATTCTGTCACTTCCTATTCAAAAATAAATTTTGATCCAGAATTCTAAAGTTTCTTCAAAAATGTTCAAATTTGACGTTTTTATACACATCATGATCCGCAGATCCCAAAAATGCGAAAAAATTCTTGGGATGCCATTCGAAATTACGAAGTTAGGGTCATTTCCAGTCAAACTGGAAGTTACCAAACATTGACACATATGTCAAAAGATGACATTTCTCAAACCTATACTCTATACCAAAAATCTTTGCCATTGAAAAAAACCCCAGCAAATGCCAGCGCGAAACTACTCTCGTAGACACCCGGTATATTAATGCGTTAGAAAGTAATCTTACATCTAGCAAGGAATTCTTCTGGAGCTTTGTCAATTCGAAGAGATCTTCAGGTTAACTCAGCCAGCACCGTCAACGGAAAATTGTTCGAAAGAAAATTGTTCGAAGGAAAATTGTTCGAAAGAAAATTGTTCGAACAGAAAATTGTTTGACCGGAAAATTGTTTGAACCGAAAATTGTTGGAACGGAAAATTGTTCGAAGGAAAAATTGTTCGAATGGAAAATTGTTCGAACGGAAAATTATTCGAAGGGAAAATTATTCAAACGAAAAATTGTTCGAACGGAAAATTATTCGAACGGAAAATTATTCGAACGCAAAATTATTCGAAAATAATTATTCGAAAGAAAATTGTTCGAACGGAAAATTGTTTTTTTTTTTTGCGAAAAATCAATAGTTCAACTGTGAATCGTAAATTAATCTATGGCCGACGTTACCCAATTCCTTAATTCTTAATATTTGTCCCTGATTCATAATTCTTGGTTTTTTAAATTCAATATTAATATACGAGGACTAGCACGCATAACGTGGACGGGTTAGTTTGGGATAGTTTGCATATTTTTGGTTAGTTTCGTTACAGTTTATTCAATACTGGTTAGAAGTGTACTGGTTACCAATAATATTTTGACCTGCACCCTTTGATCCGCTCGCTTTTGAGCTGCACTCTTTTGTACCAACGCCTAATTAACGGTTCCGCGGATCTTCTCTTTGAGATTCGGTGAGCGAAGCAAGCAATCGGAGATTCAAAAATAATTGAAATTTCGAGCTGTTGTATTTAAAAAAGGTTTTTCACGTTTTTGGTGGATTTACGTTTCCGAGGCGTATAAGTACATTTATTAACAATTTTCCATTTGAACTATTTTCCATTCGAACAATTTTTCTTTCGAACAATTTTCCGTTCGAACAATTTTCCGTTCGAATAATTTTCCAATCGAACAATTTTTCTTTTCGAACAATTTTTTCTTCAAACAACTCGAATAATTTTCCTTTCGAACAATTTTCCGTTCGAACAATTTTCCTTTCGAACAATTTTCCCTTCGAACAATTTTCCTTTCGAACAATTTTCCGTTCGAACAATTTTCCTTTCGAAAAATTTTATTTTCGAATAATTTTCCATTCGAACAATTTTCCTTTCGAAGAATTTTCTGTTCAAACAATTATTTTCGAACAAATTTCCGGGACTCCAGCCAGGGGGGGTTTATTTGAAATCCGTGCAAATCTTTCACATGCGACGCAGTCGGTCGAAATATGCGCGTCGACGAATTCTAAAAATTCACGATCGGCTTATTTGAAATCTTGTGCATTTTGTAATTCGTGACTTTTTAAATTTGCACTACTCAACTTGGCAACGTGTCCTGTAAAAGATTCTAACCAATGACATTGTTAGAAAATTTCATATGACCAAACGGAACGATGCATTGAAATGTCAAATTTGAAATTGTTTACCGTCAACAACTTTTTTGATTATTTCCGCGCATAAAGTTTCGTGTTTAGTTGGAGGTTTTTCGTTTTTTTTGTTGAT